GGGGGGAGATGTAAACGTGGAGACAAGGTTTACAGATACATTCACATACAGTCTACAAAGCAGTGCGTCCTCTAGGAGAAGGCAGGATAATACTGTATCTATACAGAAAAAATCCTGCAGTAAACTGCATTCTCTTGACATTTTTTTTTTACCAGGGACAGCAGCAGAGCGATGTTTACTATCTACAGAAGGTACTGGCAGAACAGCAGTAGGCTGGCCAGTTTGGGGAATGCGTGCACTGGTGACCATTTGGCTATTTAGCAGATCACCCGACCGTTGATCACCCTGCCGTTCCCTACGGTCAGTGTTTCCTGGCTGGATTTTGGTGCTTAAAATATGGAAGCAATGTTTCATAGAAATTAGGAAATTTTGTGTATTTATACTAATTAGAGCTTGTATTGATATTTTACCTGATTGAGGCAACAGTGCTGAGCCTCTCCAATGCAGCCCATAAAACTCCCCACACCAGCTACTTTTTTAGTAAGTGAGGTTCTGTTGGCTAAGTCCTGGAAAGACCAGGGTGTTGCCTCCGAGCTGTCTCCTGTGAGCTTGTGGAAATGAGGAAAGGACAGACTTAAGGAGTGCTTATCGTCACACACCTTTTCCCCTAGACACATTCAGAAGACACAGCAGAGCTCAGACAGACTTCTGCACTGAGAGAGTCTCAGTCCTCTGGTCTGGTCTGCTGCACTCTGGTCTGCTTCTTCAGGATCACAGGGGGACTAGGCATGCTTTTCTCCCTTCGGAGTGGCAGTTAAAACATGAGCTCTGCCCTAGCTAGTGGACTGCTTAGTGGCTTCTTTCTGGTGTTCATGGGAGTGCTAATGATTCCACTGAAGAATTCATTTTTTAACCTGGTCAGAGACCTTTTTTTTGCTAAAACAGAGACTCTCTACAAATCCCATCTCGTGCTCCATTAATCAGAGCAGTGATCCCTTAGCAAGAAAGACACAAAAGTGTTAACACTGCCACCTTGGTCTACGTTTGCAAGCTCTGAGCAGCAACAGCAGTTCAAACAGGTGAGTACTAAGTAATCAGGCCACCTCTGCAAGACACCCACATTCAAAGCTCCCTGCTTCGCTGGTGCCTTCAGATCTAAACCTGACAATTCTTCCAGTACAACACTGATGACTGCTCTCATCTTTCAGCCGGCTTCTGTTCCCTTTTTTCCCAGTGTTGCAACTGTGCTGTTGGGGACCTTTTTTTTTTTTTTTTCAATTTTCCATTCTTTATTCTCCTTCTCTTTAAAATTGTTTTCCTTGTCTGTCATCACAGAACTTGCCCTGCAATTCCTCATACTGCCTCACTGATCCTCGCTGGCTTGCTCATGTACTTCTCTTTCCTGCACATCCTCACCTCTCTGCTGGAAACCCCATAACCAGGCTTCACACCGCGTCTGTGCTCTTCTGTCTTGGACCCTGCATCTTCCTGTATAAACCACCTGCCTCTCCAGTTCACAACTTTGAATGTCCTGATACCATATCTATGCTCTGCTTTTTTTCATCTCTAGGAACATGCTATTTCTTCCAAGAGATAACCGAAAAGATACGTTACTGACTCCCACCCCTTTTCATTTGTTTTTCCTTTCTTACCATGCAGCTGCTTGTTCTGCCTCTTTTGGTGCCATAACTGCATGCGCACTTGTCCCACTAGCCTTCTCTCATCTGAGCAGCTTTGCACTCATCCTATATTTTATTCTTTTCCTTAGCTAATGTGGGTCCTCACTCTAAAACATGCTTTAGTCTCTGTGATTTTAAAAAACTTTTCACCTCCGCCTTCTCTGCCCTAGCTTCTGTTACTTTCCATCTCAACTCACTGTATGCAGCTCCTTTTGGGTGCTCTGTGAGGCTTACTACTTTGGGCATAGGGACTCACGCTGTACCTTCTCCTGCGCTGTTTGTGGCAGAGCCCATCTTTTCACCTTGGGTTTGCAAAGAACTGAGCATGACTGTTCCCTTCCTCAGCCGGAGCTCAGAGCTTCTGCTGCAGCAGCGCAAATAAAGAATGACAGAATGATGAATTCAGTACTTCAGCACTGCCATCGGCTGGCAGTCTTTGATCACAACACTCCATATTTGACTTCAAAACTTGAAGGTTTGTTTTTGTTTCATCTGCTGCTACTGAAGTGGAATGTATTATTGTAAGCACACTATCTGAGAGTAATGCAAATGCTAGAAATCTTTATGTTATATTCTTTCCAAATAAGAGATGCATGCTTTTTGCTTTCTGCTTTGCTTTACAAAGTGAAATATTGAGGTTGGTAATTCAAGTACCGAAGAATTGGGAAATTCTGGGTTAAACTGTTACGTACAATTAATTCATCTACATTACTTGAATGATGTATATGTTTTGTAAGATATTTTGCTCATGCTTTAGAAACATGCAATAATTAAAATGAAGCATGCAGACAGATGCAAAAGGCAAACAGGATAATTTGAGAATAATCTAAAATTTGTGTGATACTTCCTCTGACAACTCTTCCAGCCTCCTCCTTGTTTAGTAATGCCCTAAACCAAGTGGTTGGTCTATTTTACTAATCCTCACTGGGTTTTCTTTCCATGAGCACACCTAGCTTCTCCTTGAAGGCATATATAAAGAGTTTTGTGGTATTTTTCCTTTATTTTTTTCCTTGCCATGTTATCTTTTTAAACTTTCTCCTCTTTCATTTGTTGGTTTTCTGTGACTTCTGTGCTATAATCCATCTTACTTTAATTAGTCTTACTGATATATGGTTAACATTCCATGGTTAAAACAACTTGCCTCTTACACTTCCTAATGTGCTCCCATCCTAAACAGTGGCAGGAATATTTACCTCCTTAGTACAACAGCTCTTCTGTGACAGGAGACTGTGAAAAGCTATCCAGATGTGTGGTCCAATATATTTCATACGCAGATGTGTTTTAAGAAAATTTTGAAAGGAAGAATAGATACAAATATCCAAAGGAAAAAGTGTGCTCAGTGTTTCAGTAATTCAATTGTTTATCCAATTTACTGCCATGTGCTGAAATATTACGCAGAATTCTAGGAAATGCAGAAGGAGATTATGAGTTCAGGGATGGAGCACTAATTGAATTCCTAATTGAAATGACTCATCTAAGCAACACAGTGACCTGAATTGCTCCCTTGAATGTAAAAGTCTTTCCAAATGGTATCCTAGCACAGGTGCCACACTAAAAGCTTGACTCTTGTCCATCTACAAGAAAGGTTATCTGTCAGAAGAAGATTTCCTGCAAGGGGGTCACTATTTGCAAGTGAAATGCGTTTTTCCTTTCAACAAGGCAAGATGGATAGGTCTTTTTCTTACTCATTTGGTCTCAACCATGACTGGTTATACTGGGCACAAAGCTTACTATGTACTTCAATCTGCAGGGCTTGACTGAGGCATGGATTTTACACAAACCCTCTGTAAAAGCATGATTTTTTCTCATCTTGACACTTACACAGAAAGAGAGGTATAATTATATCGACTCATCTACATTTCTAAAAATGATACGTAAACTGAAAATAGGAATGTTCAATTATCAAACCTGCAAGTCAAATTTCAGGTGAAATTTCACTCGTTATTATGAAAACCTTTTTCCATCGTTGTGTGTACTCTGTTATTTTTTAAAGAGGGAATTGGCTGGGGTTTGCCTCATTAAAAAACAGCATTTATATCAATGCTAGATTTTTAATGCTTTAGACTTCCTCATTCACTAGGGGACTCTTACAAAACTGGTCCTTTATTTTAGTGATTTATCATTGAACCATAAACTCCTACTTGGCAGTGAAATTTTCAGCAGATAAGGCAAACAAACTTACAAAAAAACAGTTATTCTTAATTTCTACTATTACAAGTGTCTAGAAACTGGGACATTTAACATCTTTTTAGTGTCTTACGAATAAACAGAGATTTGCATCTGACTTCCACTACCCAGGCAACGTGGGGTCTACACATGCTTCAAAAGTACGATCTACTAGCAGAAAATACACACATCACAGAAGGATAGTGAGAGAGGACAGAATAACTTTCAAAAGGCCTTTTATTAAAATTTTGCCTTTTAGTTCAAAGGATATTTGAAATTACTTTTGCCTCTCATGAATTTATTAATTTCTGCCAGCTGGTAAATCTTTTCTCTAAAAAACTAAAAATACCTGGTGTAAATAAAAGGAATCTTTTCCTTAAGAAGATTAAGAAGCAGAAATTGAGTTTGTGTCACTTCTGTTGAAAAGAACTTCATAGCCAGGAAATCAGAGTTCCCCTTAGTGTTTTGATATACCAGTATTGACTGTCTTCATTATTCTGTCAAAGCTAATAAAATGCATAAACACATCAAGCACACCCTCATGATATCCTTAAATTCAGAAAACTGCAGAAACAAGTACATGCTTCATTAAAGAAATAAACAAACACTTCTCCGTTACTTCAGTAGCATAAGTGATTACTGTCTTTGACTTGTAAAAGAAATTTCTCGTGGCTGGAAAAATCTTAAGAAAGAGGACACAACATTGGCTAAAAGTGTTCTATAACGTACTTACATATCACTGGCAATGGAGGAGTTCCTGGACATGGACTTTGGAGAAAGGTCATAGTCACTGTCTGACCGGTAAAGGAAAGACTCTCTACGTTGACTGTGGACAAAATTTGCCTGAAGAACTAGCCCTGATCCAGGGCTCGTCATGGGATCCAAGGGACTTCGTCCCGATGATGTACCATTGTCTACATCGAAACTGCAAAAAATAAGGAGAAAAAGATTTATGCCATTGACATAAGAATTTTGAAAGCAGTAAACACGCTTCCGACAAATTTAACACTAGGTAATTGCTTCCTGATAACAACAGGGAAATAAAGATCTGGTCAAGTCCACTGCTAAGCCAAAATCAAAGGCACACAAGAAATATACTTTAAAATTGTTGATAACCAAAAAGAACAAGATTGAAGGAAGAGAAATTTGGTGGAGAAAAAAACTGCTACTAGGAATAGAGGAAGACTTATGCTTCTCTGCACACAGAGTATCCACGAGCTGTATACTTGAGGAAACATGATGTTTCATTGTTTTCTTCCTCATCTTTATTTTCTTTCGCCTTCTCTCCTGAGCTGGAGCCTCACTATCCTGCCTCCCACTGTTGAGGCAGTTGGGGACTCTTTTGTTATCCAGTACCCAAGCCTAATATTTCATTACTACCCAAATATTTGAAGAATGTATCTTGTCTTATGCCAATAAAAAAAGCACTGGGGTGGGATGAAGGCGTACTTGTGTGCTTGGGGACGTTTGCATGTGCTAGAGCTGCTATTTTACAACCAGATTAAAGAAATTAGTTCTTTGCTCACTGTCAAGCAGTGTGACTTCTGTGGCCATTCATGTCTTTCAACTACACAGTTTAGATACAGCACTTCCAGCTATTGTATTTGGTATTAAGAGTGGTAAACAGGCTTATTATTCCTAGGGAACATGGCCGTCATGCGAGGCTGAAGGGTGGGGGGAAAGAAAGAGAAGGCGAGAGAAGATGCTCTTTCACGTAGCCTGTGACGTTTCCACAAAGGGTTTTGAAAATCAGTGCAAAGACCTTGAATGGGATTGTGCCATCAATCAGAAATGAGCGCAGGGTGGGCAGTGCTGGCAGGATGTGCTCATGGCAACCCGTGTTGCTTAGCAGCCTGCCAGCTCTGTTTGGTACGGAGTCTTTTCGGAGCATGCAGCTCCATTTTTAGACTTACCGTGTTGTGGTGTGCAATCTCAGAGGTTACCATTGTGTGGATTAGCAAGATTATGTCTCTGTCTGATGGGATGGAGCACATTTTATCCCGACAGAGGTGGAAAATTACTTTTGTTTCCCAAGTTGGTTGTATCTCTAAAACCAAACATCAGTTTTAGTTTTATAGAATAGTAGGAAAGGTGTGCATGAGACCTTGGCTTATAACTACTTGGGCTTATTTGCCATACTAATGGGAACTTAAATAATACTGCTAAAGCATTTAGGAAAGACGGATGAACAGAGGATCCTTCATATGTTTTTTCAAACATGGATAAGTGTTAGCATCATAATATGTATTCGTAATGAATCTATATACTCATTTTGAAAATAGTGTTCACGTGCAGAACACCCACTGGTTTTCAATTATATCTAGTATACAGCGGAAGAGAAAATATTCAGTACATGTCAGCTGTTGATTGGACTTCACCCTGGTGCAGGTGTCGCAGCAGGTACATGCTGCTCTCGGCGCTAGTTTGTTTCTTGCTGTTATCCACCACTGACCTGAGACAGCAGTGAGGCTGCCGGTTTCATGTTTTACTGAAGTGATAGCATTCCTATGGCCTTTTTTTCTTTGTCAAATGAACTAATCCAAGAAACATATATTGCCTATTTTGACAGAGATGCACATTGCCTGGTAGAGAATGGACCTTGGTTTCATGTTTTATTTCATTATTTCATTGTCGCTTTGCACATGTTCCTGGATCTGCAAGCTTTCTGCTGCATGCAGACTATGTTGCTTATTTCATATTCCTCTTTCACAGTTTGAATTTAGGAAAGCAAATTAAAAAAAAAATTGAGAAAATCGTATTAAACAAATTTCAAGACAGCTTAGCAATTTAATCCTCTTTTCACTGTAGTTTTCAGAACAATTCGCTGTCAGTAAATCCTAACACACACACACTTCTTCCCAAACTTCCTTTTGATTATGCCTGAATACTTTTTCTGTATCCTCAAGTGTGCTACTACTACATTATCAATCTCAAGCTAACAAAGCTTAATCTGTAAGACATCAAACGAGAGTTCTGCCACTTCCTCTCTGCATTTCATTTTCCCTGTTCATTGCATCTTTGTGATTATTGTGCAGTCTGTTCACAAAAAATATTGGAAAAAATACTGGAAAGGGTAAGATAGCATGAACACTACAGTAGAACATTCTTCGCAGCTTATAGTACCATAAATTAATAACCATATTGTCACTGCTACTAGCATGACTATTATTACTTACTAGCAATCAACATCTTTTGAGTTTGAATTCCTGAGTATTCTAGAAGCAGAAAATACTCACAATACCAACAAAGGGTTTGGAACATCTGTGAGCTCATCATATCCAAATTTCCTAACACTTCTACTTCATTGCCTAAATAAAACAGTTTTGTTCTGTAAATAGCTGCAAGAACACACAGACTCCTAAAAAATACACAGTCTGTATGTTTTGTTTTTCTGTTGAAGGCAGGAGGGTAGATCTTTCATGCAATTTTAGGTAAAATAGAAGAGGATTGTTTACTCCTGTGCTCAATAAGTCTAACTTCTGCAATGGCAGTATTATTTCAAACATATATAAGGTGTCTGAAAGCTCTTAAGTAAAAGTTAAAAGTGGAATAGAAATAAATGCAGGTAAATATAAGTCTGTCTCACAGCAGGAAAATTTTGAATAAGGAATGACTACTAAATTGATGTCTTTAATAGTGGACTTAATTAATCTACTTATTAAAATGCATTTTAATGGATTAAAGGAACATACAGTTTTGTTCACAGATTTGTCATATTTTTTTGACCCACCTTTTGTGGACACAATATGAATATTTTATTATCAGTCTTATTTCTCCCAGTCAGAAACTAAGGCAGGCTTCTATGAATTATTTCCGTGTCCGATTATAAAATAGAGATTTTTTTAAAATTTAAAACTCCATTAGATAAAATTGCAGTTTGATCGGCTGGGAGAGGGCCTGTGGTTTGCACCATCAGTATGTGCAAGACGTGCACATGGCTGTAGTGAGAGGAGTTTTATCCTTGTTATACTGCGCTGTGTCCACTAGATGGGTGTCAAAAGTAACGAAAGGGACCCAAATACATCGGCTAGGATTTGGCTCATACTGCTCGACGAAAATGTCTTTTATGTAAATATGAACCAAGGAAAAAAAAAAGTTCAGTTCTACAGTCAAAGGGCAATGTGAATACAGTACTGGTTTGTCAGAAACATATGTTTATATTAAAAAGTTTCTAAAATGCTACAGCAGTTAAGCATCTTGTTTAGCTCTTACTATTTGCTAACACTTTCAGATAAAAAAAGCTTACAGAAATCTAAATTTTAAATCTGTTATTACACTGAAAATCAAATTAATTATTTCTTTGCCTGAATCACAAGCCTTATTTGCAAGAAATGGCACTGCTGATCACACTACATCAAATGAACAGAGGATCAGAAAAGGCAATTGAAGGCTTTCATACAAGTTGTTTGCTCTTTCTTGCTGCATGCGCTGAAGAAAATTAAAAGTTTAAGATACAAAATAGGATAGATTCTTTATTTTGCCTGGACAGAAACTGCAGGTCAGCTGTGGTTGCTTCATATGTATCTTTCCACTCCTGTTAAGTTTTAAGCCACAGCAAGAATCTGCTGTGACTTAAAAAGAGCACGTTCAGCGACAAAGCAATGCTATTCTCTCCCTAGCGTGTTCCTCAGCCTCCGTGCACTTTTGGTGGAGGGTGGTCTTTGGAAAGGAAGAAGAAGCACGGATGTTGTTACTGAAGGCACAGGAACTGATTTGCTACGGTTTCACAGGCAGAATGTGGCCATTTAAAGACAGAACTTTCCGCTGTTGTTCTGCAGCCAGCTTTGGACACTTTGCACAACGCACGCAAACTGAAGCTGCTTTTAGTGACAGGAGCATTTGGCGCAGCACACAGCACAGAATTTTCTGTGTTCAAAGAGCTTTGCTGCAACTCCAGAGATGCCAAAGCTATGAAAAGCCAGCGCTAATTCAGCAACTTTCATGTCTGCATTTTGACAAAATGTTTTATGACATTAGTGGATACTGTTTATCCTTAGAGCCTGCCTTATTCAGTGTTCAGTGATGACAAACACGACATGAGATGAAAGTTCAGCCTTTTTGCCTTTTTTGGGTATACATCGTGTTTGCATGTCTAGCCCACCATGTATCATCCAGGCTCTGACCTCAGATGGAGATAAAGGTGGTGAACTCTCTTGGGCGACTTGTAAACATTCACAGCTGATCTTCTCTGTGCTCCTAATAGGACAAGAAGTAATAACACCACAAGCAACCTTTAGGAAGATTACTAATGATTTGCTTCAGGCAATAGTAAGACTCCGTGGCAAGAACAGGCGAGGTTCTGGATCCTGGATCTCAGCAGCATCTCTTCATTGTTAATGACTGCACAGCTTCTTTACGCAGTGAAAGAAACCCTCTGTGGACTTCCTTTTGAGTCCTTAAATAACACTCTCCTACTCTTTGCAAGGTTGCTAAAAGAAAAAAGGGGAAGATCTGTGTACAAAACATAGCTTTTAGTTACATAAGGAGTAACGGCATCGTAATGAATATGCACAAGAGCTTGTAATTAAGGCTGCATAGAAAATCTTAACATTGGTCTTCCTTCTTACTGAGAGTTTAACAACTTAATCCTGTAGGTTTTTGTCAGGGATTTTTGCTTTCTGTTGTTTTAGAGAAGTAAGCAATAGTAGAAGAGGGAAGGAAATAAATTTCACTCCAAAATGAAGAGTTTACTAGACTTCTTAAGAACACAAATTCCCCTTTTAAGTCTGTCTCCACTTTCAGCCTATCCTATCTTGGAAACTATGGGGAGGGAGATAGGCAGGAGCCAAATTAATTGATCCTCTAGGACTTCTTAACTTTTAAGGCCATATTTAAACATTACAGACGGACAAGTTCTAGAGGAGCGAATTTTGTCCCCCGTCAAAGGATTCCATTGTCCTAAGTGTCAAGCAATCTCTCCAGCCA